CTGGCTATCCCGCCCCCTTTTATCCCAGTATCTTCATTGGTCACAGCTGCAGCCCAGTTAAGGACATCACAGCTGCAGCCCATCAAGGGCAACCGGGACCTCTGGGGCAAAGCCTCTATGCAGATATTCAAATACATTTCCTCTACTATAGATGGTTTTGTGTTCCAAAGGAAAAAAGAAAATTTTGAAGGATAAACTGACTGTCCAACACTGCACCAGCTCAGGGTATAATTCCTGGGATGTCAGCCCTGCCCAAGTGCAGCACACAGTCAGAGCCGGAAGGACAAACAGCTCTTTAGGAGGCCCTGGCACAGGGTGCCCAGAGAAGCTGTGGCTGCAGCAGCCCTGGAAGTGTCCAAGACCAGGCTGGATGGGGCTTGGAGCAGCCTGGTCTGGTGGAAGATGTCCCTGCCCATGGCAGGGGCTTGGAACAGAGGGATCTTTAAGGTCCCTTCCAGCCCCAGTCATTCTGGGATTCTCTGAAGGGGCATAGGATGCCCATGGGTTTTTCCCTTGCTCTGCTGAAACCCCAAGTGCAGTTTGCTGATCCTGAGGTGAGGCTGGAGGCAGCTGCAGGTACCTGCACAGCCCTAGAGCTGATGGAGGATGCTCAGCTTGTCACTCACAGCTGGTTATTCCAGGCAGTCAGTCCTGGTGAGCAGCAAGCTCCTGATTAAGGCTCCACCACCTTGGCTTGGCTCAGCTCAGCTGCCATCTGAAGAGAAAACAGCACCACAAGAAATGGTTATGCCTGGCTTATCCCACACCCCAATGCAGCCTGGGACAAGCAAACACTCAGAGGGAACCTCACAGTCCAGAATTTCATTTACAGGCTCTCCAGGGAAATGCCATGCACCCATCTTTTAGCTTTTTCCCCATTTCCATACAGCAATTTCTTCTGCACACCCATCTCTGCACTCTGACAGAAGGCAGGAGGAGAAGAGCCTCTCTCCAGAGCTCAGTATAACACAGTTATGGATTAGATTACTAAATAAAAGAAAGATCTAGAATAAAGGGTATGAGAGGAGTCCTTTTCCCTCCTTCATTTTCCCCCCACAAAGTCCTATCTATCCCCAGTCTCTTAAAAATACTGAGATTCTACAAAGAACAAATCACCAGTTCCACACTTGGGATATATGAACTAAGGACTTCTTTTCCTATTTTTTAGATTCAATTTAAAAAAATTGTAGGGAAAGGATTTGAAGACTTCAGGGAAAGTGCTTATTTTCAACACCCTTTGGTTCTCCATTGGCTCAAAGTTGTTTGTGTTCATTCTTTTGTAAAAGTACATTCATTACATAATCAGAAACACTAAAATCTCTCAGTTATACAAATTCTCACTCTGTTACTATGGCAAACCACTGCAAAAATTCAGAGCAGCAGCACAACAAAGTGCTTGGAACAACAGCTCTCAACTGCCAGTTTCTGCCTGTCAGAACTTAAAAGCATCTGTAGCTGTTGAACTGTTCATACACAAGCAAGAATCCTGTCCTGCTCCCTGAGCAAATTGGCACCTCAAAAATAGAGATGGAGGAAAGGAAAAGTTACTGGCAGCACACAATGCTAGGAAACAAAAAAAAAACCAACCAACCCCAGAACATCCTCCCCCACAAAACCCTCAAAATAAACCCCAGAAAGCAGTTCTTATAAAATGCAACAATGCTGAAATCTGAAGTTTGAATGAGAAACTCTAGTTTAAAGCCAAACAGGTTTCACACCGCCAGTTGATGCTACAGAGCAGGTCAAAGATGCCTGAATTCAGAGGTACCTCCTCTCCTGCCTCTGACACACTCCCTGTTGGGGCACTAAGAAGAACTCCTCTGCAGCCTGAGTACAGCCCTGCTCCTGGGGGAGCACTGACCTGCCCAATCCAATAAAAGCTCAGCAGAGGCAGCCACGAGCACCTGCCAGCTCTCCAGACACCCCTGACAACCCAGCATTCAGCCCTGGCTCCTGGAACCAGCTCCTGGTTCCATGCCCAGCAGATGCAGGGCCATGGGATGCATAGGCAGAACCACACCTCAGTCTAGGTGTGTTTTATTTCTGTATCCCTTTGGGATCACTCTTCTTCCTTACACTAACAAGGCTCTGGCAAACAAGCTGCATTTTTTGGATATACATGACTGGAGTAAATGCCATTGACAGAAATCAGCAGAGGAGGAACTGGGAGTCAGCAGCAGCAAAACACTTCACACATTCAGCCCACCACATGTTGGAACTCCAGACAGACAGACAGGGGAGGGAGAGAGACACTCAGGCAATCCATCAACGTTGCTTTATTAAAATCTTTATTCACACAATGTTGCTTTATGTGGGATCTGACCCCGGGGGATAGGAGTAGAAAGTCATAATTGCATTCTGTTTGCTTATTAGCAACTCCATTTGTGCAGCAGCTCCCAGGGGCCTCCTCTGGCACATCCAAGAGGGGGGTCTGTTTCCAGCATCCTGCTCCAGCTGCTGCACTAAATAAATTACCTTCTCAATAAATTAGTACTTTTGAGTTGAAGTTTGTTTGGCAAGACACACTCCAGTTCATCAGCTGCTGAAGGAGAGCTGACTCGAGTGTCTCCTCCCCCTGATGGCTGACTTGGGAAGGAGGAGGAGGAGGGAAATAGCAGATGGCTGATGAGACTCTTTAATTAGTTCTTGATTTCTGTGCTTCCAGTGCTCTGATATCATGGATAGCCATGACACAACCAGTGTGTAACATCTGGGGCCAGTGGGTGACACGTGCACAGTGAACAAGCATCAGAAGGTGTCTGCTCCTCCCCAGAGCACCTGCCTTGCAAACAATGCTATTTTTCAGAGATTCAAGCAGACCCTGTTGGCATGTGGATGCTGCTCCTCATTTCCTTTGCAATGGTTACAATTTAAAATCTCCCAGGGTTCTGTATTTGAGCAAAACGACCATCACTGCCAAAGGGGCAGAAATTGTCACAAGGCCAAAACCAGATCTTCCTGATTTTGGTTTAAGAGAGGAATTTATTTTTCTTTCCTGCTGCAGAACACCAACCTCCAGTAGTGTTTACAGCAACAAGAAGCATCAATATCACAAATAAAAAACCAATCCCAAAAAACAACCATTTCTTGCTTCCTTCTACTGATAATGCTGGACTTCATGCCCTTTGTCCACAAGTAAACCAAAATAAACCAATACCCTGCTTTAAATCTTTGACATTTATACTGGGAAAAAACTCATCCCCAGGTTCCATCTGACAGCAAAAGCTTTAGCTTAGAGCAATATGTAAATCCTCGACATTAATTTAATTTCAATGACTGAAAGGCCTTTTTTTGAGCCCATTATTAAATAAAATGTAAATATCAAGAGTGATCATATAGAAATCAAAAATTAAATTTTGGTAGATCCCTCCCAAAATATTAAGAGCTCAAAAAGAAGAATATGCTTTTAGAAATACTACAAGCCACCAATCATGTGCTTCACTATCTCCCCTTTGGGTAAATCATCTGAAATTTCCTGGGAGACAGCTTAAACCAGCACTTGCTCCTGCCACACAGGCACCACCCAAAGTGTGTTCTGTTAGCAGGTGATAGAGGCAAGAGCTTCACAGTGTCCTCAGAGCTGGCTGTGTGTCACCATCCTGACTAAGAACTCCAATAGATAACTCCAGATCCCATCCCATCACCTCATTGCTCTATGGCATCTATGAGTGTAGCCAAGTCCAGAAGAGAGCAAAAAGAACAGAGAATTCAATCCCAGGTAAACAGCCACATTCTACTTTCAAGATACTCTGCTCATGCAACGAGAAAAAGACTTCAACAAAACAAACCAATGCCTGCATTTTTCAGATAAACTCTCTCCCTGACACCTCCTGGATCAGGTGTGGCCAAGGTGCAAGAACAAAACAGCTCTTTGCCTGCCTGCCACACTGCAGTTAGAGAAGAAGTTAGATTTTCCTGACAAGAAAATCAAGGAAAAGGGCTCAAACTGACATTTTGGTGCTCTTGCTCTCAAATTCAGTAATCTGTAATCACTTGGGGAAGGAGCTCCTTCCTTACACTAAGGACCATGCTGGCTGAACACTGATGCAAAGCTGATCAATTTGGAAACAGTGATGAAGCTGCTTCTCTTCTGGAGACACAAACTGAGACCTGTGCCAAGGTGATCAGCTTTATGACACAAACTCAGCACAGTGCTGAAGGACAACAGGACTAGCACAAGATGAGTGTTGCAGGCCTGTCCTGAAAAGCCAACTTTTCTCTATCTATGGCCATAGTCCATTAGTGAGGACTCCTGGATGACCATCCCAGGCAGAACATTGCAGTGGGGGTTGCAGGAAGCAACTGGGGAAGGCAGAAAACCTCCTGGAAGTAGTCACAGCTTCTGAGCTCAGCCACAGCCAAAGCAGGTGAACGTGGGACCCCAACACTGGTGTGCCCAGAGCAGAAGTGCTGAGCTGTGCTCACAGGGAGCAGCAGGAAGCTCTCTCAGGAGAGAAGAAGACAGACCACAGCTCAGGGATGTCTGCACACCTCAGGTGACTGCTGGTGACTGGGGAAGTCCAGCAAACACCTCTTCCCCCAGTCCCACATGCCCAGAGGCTCCACAGCTCTCAGGGCTCACAGTAAAGCAGCCTGACCCTGCTACACAGAACTGCTGCCAAGGACAGATTCTGTCCTCCTCAGCTACAAGAAAATGAACATTTGTTTATAATGGACACAGGACTGCAAGGATAATTTCTCTACTCAGACCTTGCCAGATTATTTAAAAAAAAAGAGGGACAAGACACATGGAAACTTACTATAACCCCTTAATTATCAAGTGCTGTATAACCACCCTGTCCTCTCCTAAATCTCCAACCTTGTGGATAAACCTTTGATAGGACTTCAGCAAAAACACTGAAGCATTACACATATGAGGCAGCCCCCTTTCCCAGCCTTTTATCAAGGAAAAGCCAAGTGAGCAGCAGAGGTCCCCTCTCCCACCCCTCAGACAACCAGAAGAACATCCCACCCCGGGGGGTGGCACAACTCTCCAGTCCAACAGTTATTTTATTCACCCCTGCTCGTTCTCTAGAGAAGCAGTAAAATGCCCAACCAGCTCAGAGCTGATTGTGTACAACCCTGAATGAACAAACTCGCCAGAGTAAAGGGGGAAGAGAAGGGGAGGGGACTGTTCTGTTCATCTCTGAGGGTCCCCTGCAATCCAGTCCACAGAGGAGCTCAGTATCCAGACTCTGCACAGCACCCAGAGCGGTGCCCACTGCCGGCAATGGCCACGGCACAGTGGCCACCACGGGGCTGAGCCATCCCAGGCTCCTTGCCACCTCTCACTGCTGCCAGCCCAAGGAAACAGCCAGTGTCACCTCCCTTCCTCTGGCTCGGGAGCTGTCCTGTTCATGTCAGTCCATCGTGGCCACAGCCCTTCTGAACTGATTGTGCTGTTTTTCTATCGCTTGTTTGTTTGTTTGTTTTTTAAAAAAGGAGTTTCATCTCGTGTTCTGCTGGGATTACAAGTGAGACAGAGTCATCCTGTCTTCCACCAGCACAACATCTGGCCCAAACTGGTCTGTGCACTGCTTCACTGTAGCCAGGATGCTGAGGAGCCGCTGGTCCAGGGCGTCCAGGTGAGGGGTGGAGAGCACAGGTGAGATGGGGTCATGAGACATGGCAGTTTTTAAGGCAGACTTCAGGACTCCGTTCTTCAGGTAATTCAGCCTGTTCCAGGTAGAAACCCGGATACTGCAAAAGAAACAAACACACATCACCACACCAGGCTCCTGCTGCATCCCACGGGAATACCGGCTCACCAAGAATGGAGACTCCGTGCAGAAGTGGGTTTGGGATGGCAGGGTCCAGGTGGAACTGCATCTCAGACAGGATCTAATCTAATGAAATTTGAAAATTCAAGGTGATGAAGAATCAATCTGGTGTGACAAAACTGAGTTTTGGTGTGACAAAACTCTGATGTTACACAGGAACGCTTCCAGCTGAGAGCACAGAAAGTCTTCAGTCCTGCGGCCTCCCAGACACAGTTTGGAAAGGAAAGAAAAGGAAGGAAAATCAACAAATTCAACAAAGGTCACCACAGGAAGAGCATCACTGACCAATAATGAATCACAAAGGACAAAAGGCAGTTGGCCAAACTTCAAGAAAGAGAACACAGCAGTGACTTTTCCTCTTCACTGGCCACTGAGCTTGTTTGTGTCAGCCCATCTCAACTCTCATGTTCTGTGAAGTCTCTTGGGATTCTCCCCCAAACCTTTAGCATCCAAATCTTTAGCATCCCTGGTCTAAACTCTTGGGTTTGATGGCTTCCAATAAAACCAGCAAAATAAGAAAGTGTTGTAACAAACCTATAGTTAAAACAATTATGCAAATTAATTTATCATATGGCATTTGCCCAGTACCAGAAAAAAGGAAAATCTGAAAAGCAGGAAATTGCCAAGTCTCTTACAGAGATAAACTTTTCCTCTGGTTGCATTTGGGGGAATCAAGATGACAAAGACTCCAGAAGAATCTCAATAAGGCACAAAATTAAACATACATCTACAACTAATGCAGGAAAACGAAAGAATTTAAAAGTTCTTTAACTGTTCTGCATGTGACTTCTTTTAAAAGGATCCTGCAGAACATGGGCCAGGTGTACTGCAGAGAGCTGTGCTTAGTGCAAGCAAGATGAGAGCTCAGGCCCCAGAGAATTTGGAAGACAGAACCTTTCAAGGACAAGTTTCACAGACAATCTCCATTTGGAAGGCCTAAAGGAGTTCATGCTGAAGTATCAGAGTTGGGAAATTTGTATCTCAGTATTTTTCTTCCTGGAAATTTTCACAGAAGCCCAGAATGGCTTGGACTGGAAGGGCCCTTAAAGAACATCTCATTCCACCCCCCTGCCAAGGGCAGGGACACCCTCCACTAGATCAGGTTGTTTCAAGCCCTGTCCTACCTGGCCTTGAACATTTCCAGGGATGGGGCAGCCACAGCTTCTCTGGGTACCCTGTGCCAGGGCCTCCTCAGAGGCAGAATTCCATCCCAATGTCCCATCTAACTCTGCCCTCTGTCAGTGTGAAGCCATTCCCCCTGTCCTGTCACTGCAGTCCCTTGTCCCAAGTCCCTCTCCAGCTCTCTTGGAGCCCCTTTAGGCACTGGCAGGAGCTCTGAGGTCTCCTCAGGGCCTTCTCTTCTCCAGGTTGAACACCCCAGCTCTCTCAGGCTGTTACAGAGAAGAGCTACTACAGCCCTTGGAGCATCTAATTCCTAATGAGAAACAGCAATGGCCTGGTAAGAGACTGGAGACAGAACAGAAATCAGAAAGCCACAGCCTCTGAAAATAAAACCACAGCTCACAAGGCCAAAGCAGAAACAAACCTCTGCAAAGAAACTGCACATTTTACTTGAGAGGAGACCCCTGAGCAAGGCTGCAGGCTTTTTATGGAAACCATGTTTGAAATTATTACATTGCCTTTATTAAATTGCCATCCTCCCCTACTGTCAGGGAGAACTCAAGCAGGGATGTGAATGCTGATTTGCCAGGAGCTGGGTGGGACAGCTGCAGATGCAAAGTGCCTGTCACACTGACTGTGGACACAGCTGTGACCTGGAGGTGAGAGCACTTTCTGCAGCCAACCCTCTGCCTTCATGAAAATGGATTCCTCAGCTTCTTGGGCAGTGCCCATCCATCAAACAGACAATATCTCAAAAAGTACAGCACTGTGGACCCAAGCAAACCTTTTCGGGTTGCCAGAAGGCTCCCAAGTTAATGAAATTGCAAACCTAAGGACAGAATTACATAAGCGAACAGCACCTCTGTGTTTCACTTACATGCAGCACTGATAGAGAGGAGCCAGGATGCTTCTTTCATCCAGGGCAGGGTTTCCAAAGCTGAAAAGCAAAATGAAAACCAAGTGAACCAGCTGAACTCCTAAGGTTCTCAACATAAAGGGCTTTGTAAAGAATTCAGAGAAATCAATATTAGGCAATTTCATGCTCTAAGAGATCAAATAATTTAAATTAAAATATAAACAGTCCAAGACCAGTCACTGATCTAACTTTCATCAGCATCAGTTAAGCAGGTAAACAGAAGCAGCACCAGCATACCCAGTTCTTTATCAGAGCAAGGCCCCTTAGGAAGGCATTTCAGAGGAGTTCAGAAATGGTGCAGGGGTAAGGAATAACTGCTATTCTGGGCATGCAGAATGGGAGCTTTGCCTGTCTGACACAGCTGGTCAGGGAAGGAACCCAACAGCAGCAACAGTTCACTGACAAGGTGATTAACTTAAATATTTCAAGCCAAATTCCATAGAATTTCAAGCTTCATCCAAACACATGCTGGATTTATTTTTCATAGTTTCACCTTCCTCATAATACTGTTTTCAACTAAGAACTTTTCCTTCAATAAAGATAAGTTGCTGCAGGGGCCTGGCCTAATGCTGCCCAAATAATTCTGTTATTCATAGCTTTAAAACTCAATAAACTCCCAGGGAAGTGGTCATGGCACCAAGGAGCATCTGCTCTTGCTCACATGGTTTAGTTTTAAGGAGCCCTGTAAGAAACAAGGAGTTGGGGTCAATGATCCTTATGGGTCACTTCCAAATTGAGATCTACCACGGTTCTATGAAAAATTGTCCCCTACCCATTATTTCAAAGGAGCTGAAAGTAATTTAAAATTTTATTATAAATAAATCACTTAAATTTTCAAGAAAACAATTTACTGTCAGCCTGCAAAGCCCCACCAAAAATATTTTCATAATGCCATAGGAAATGACCATAACAAAAGGACTTGACTTTAACCCCATATTCACTTCCAGTGACTAATCCATCACCTTCCTTCCTGCAGCACAGTGTCAGTGAGGAACAGAAAGAGCATTTTGCCAAATTCTCCTAAAGCAGCAGTAATGAAGCAGTCCCAAGGTGGAATGCATCCTGCTGTCATACTGCAGTATTACTGAACAGGCTGATGACAGGAAGGATGGATGGAAAGGTGGAAGGAATCCACTATACAAAAGATAAATGGGAAAAGAAAGGTAACTCCAAGCCTTGCAAGGATCTCCAAGGTCTCAAGTGGTGTGCAAAGGCAGAGCAGAGCCTGCCACAGGAACTGCTGGTCCTTCACAGAAGGGAAACTCACTGCCACTGCACATGGGAGGGCCCACCAGAAAAATAAACAATCCAGAATTGCTGGACTAAATGATGAGAAAGGCAAGTAGATGACCTTCATGTTTTTAAGAAAAATTAATCAAATTGTTATTTATGATTTAAACAAGGCTGTGTCTTCAGTATGATTTTTAACCTAAACTATAGTGGACAATATACAAAAAACCTATAGCAAGGACAGAAGAACTCACATTCTAAACATATTTTTAAAACATTTTTGTTCATGTAAGAGTTAATGTCCACATATAGGATATGATCATTTTTGTGTTTGGTATCACTTCTACCTCCATTCTAAACTTCTAACCTTTCAAAGCCAGAGTAGGCATATCCAGAAGGCAGGGAATGCCAAATTATTCAGAAACACATTTTAGAAAGATCTGCTTTTATTACAGCACTCACTTATGGTGATACAGCACTTACGGTGATACAGCACTCACTCACTGGTGATAAATAAAAAAGCCAAAATTTCCAATCTTCCATTAATTAAAAGCCTAAAAGGAAAGGGCATTTCTGGGGATAGGAGGAGAGACTTGAGCAAACCTTTGAAAGTTGCTTTGGGAAATACTGTGTTAACTGGGGAGTTTCTGTAGATTGAGTAGGACTTTGGCAAGACAGAAGGGTCTCTAGAGCACAGAGTAGAATCAGAGAGTCCTGAAATGGTTTGAGTTGGAAGAGTTGGGCTAAAGCTCATCTTGTTCCATCCCCCTGCCATGGGAAGGGACACTTCCCACTAGACCAAGGTGCTCCAAGCCCTGTCCAACCTGGCCTTGGACATTTCCAGGGATGGGGCAACCTGTGCCAGGGCCTCCCCACCCTCAGAGGGAAGAATTTCTTCCTACTATCTGATCTAAATCCACTTTCTTTCAGTTTGGATCCATTCCCCCTTGTCCTGTCAGCACACAGCCTTTGAAGGACCCTAAGATTTAGCGATTAATTTCTGATAAAAAGGAGATAGACTATTACAAACAATACTAAAGAACAAATCAGCGAGAGAGAGAAAACAGAGAGGGAGGCAGAGCAGATCAGTGTGTGCCCCTGCAGGCAGCACTGCAGGCAGCACTGCAGGCCAGCAGGGGTGAGGGCAGGCTCACCTTTTTGCATTGTCCAGCAGGATGAGCATGCTGGCGCCCTCATCGTCCTGGAAGCTCTCGTAGTGGTGCCGGTCGGCGTTGCCGATCAGGTAGTCAAAGATGGCCGTGTCGATGATGTCCAGCAGGCGCGGGCCCGAGTCGTACGGGGATGTTTTCTTCACGGCATCGCAGTAGCTCTCGTCATACTCCCACCTGCAGCCAGAGGGAACCAAGCAGCTTCAGGGAACCGCCCTGCACAGCAACAGCCCCTGGGGCACTTTGAGTGCACCAAGAAAGGGCAGCAGCCCAGGCTGGACCAAGAAGGGAGAGCTGGACAGAAGTGTTTAGGAGAGGAGTAAAGCCTGCATTGACATCCCAGCCTATGGAGCAAACTGTCGCAGACATCTTTCATGAAAAATCATTTCTTAGGATTTTTCCTTGTGAGAAGCTGCAGTTTCAGCAACCCAAAGTAAACAATGGTTATCTGCTGCTGTGGAATGCAACAGGTAGACCCGTGATTGGTCTCCCATGGATGTTTGGATTTCCTGACCACTCATGGCAGAGCTGGCTCTTGCTCTCTGTCTGAGACACAGATCTTTGTTATTCATTCTTGTCTATTCTTAGCTTAGCTAGCTTCTGAAGAAACCTTTTCTATTTCTTTTTAGTATAGCCTTAATGTAACATATATCATAAAATAATAAATCAAGCCTTCTGATCATGGAGTCAACATTCTCGTCTCTTCTTCATCCTGAAAACCCTTGTGACCACGGTCACAGCAAACTTCAGTTCAAAGATACACAAAGACTATCTTCCAATGGACAACAAAGTCAGGGTTTGCTTCCTCACACCTCCACAGTGACTGGGCTATGTTAGGGGAAGATTACTGCATGCCTTGCCTTCCTCAGCTTCCCAAGGAACACTTCAGTTCTGTGTCACTTTCCATTGCCTTGAGCTGTTTCCATCCTCTTCCTTTTTTCTTTTTAATGGGCCCCTCTGCCCCCAGAAGGGCTTCACAGTGGTCACTGTCCCTCACTCACAGCTGTCTCTTTCCTCCCCTCCTCTCACCTTCTTCTCCACTGACATGATTTCAAGCTTCCCTCTTATCTCCTTCTCCTTCTCCACGTCATCTCGTAACATGGATGTCATGTCTCAATTCTCCAAAGCTAGGATTTTATATTTCCTCATTTTCTTCTTTACAGCTTTCAAAGCTATTCAACACCACCACCAAAAGAGCCAAATCTCTGGTGTATATCCTTTTCATCTGTCCACCTAAATAACAAGGACATCTTCTATGTAAGGACTAAAACAATCCTTCACAAAATAGCAGTTAAATTGGAAATGCCTTAAACCATCTGTGATTTGGAAACAGAGATGGAAGAAACACAAGCTGGAGAGACTTTCTGACATGCTCAAAACTGCAGATATTCATAAAAGTAGGAAGATCAGAATTTACTGACTACAAAAGCCACATATCCCACTTCATCTTTTAGTGGTCTGGAACCAGAGATCCCAATATCCCACCTTTCTTCCAGGCATCCAAATCAGAGAGCTTAAAAATTTATCTTCTCAATGTGCTTAATAACAGATCACCATGTTCCTCAAACACTGTGCCTAAATCCCCCTAGGAAGAAGGATCTTTGCACCAAGGTCCAACTCACACTCAAGGTGTAGCACAAATCCACACAACAACAGTCTCAGAACCTCTTCTCCTTGTTCTGGATACATTTCTTATGCTGCATCCCACTCTCCCTCAAGTGTTTCTTTTTCTCTCATTTTACTTCAGAGCAGTACTTAATCTCCTTGCCACAATTTTTCAGATATGCTATGCTCTCTCTCATTTGCCATGCAGTCTTTCAAGAGACACTTTCATCCAACACTCATTTCTGATAATTTACATTGTATTAGCACAGGCCTTGGAAGGTCAGGGATTTTGTCTATTACACCTCCATTAAAAATTACAGACACTAATGTGCCTGCGTGAATTATGTTCAAAAGGTCAACTCAAAACAGCAGCTAGAGCAGGAAAAAATTCTTAGAGAGTTATTTTTTCACAATTACCAGGCACAGAAAAAGGAGAGCATGACACCAAGAACCTTTAATTCTGATCTCTCAAAGTGAAATGTGCAGCATGACATGGTGAAAAACACCAGAACCTTGTAACCTCATCTGCAGGAGGCAAGTGGGAGTTTAAATACACCAAATATCAAATCAGCACAGGAATCAAGGTAAACCCCTGTGTAAGCAGGCAGGGTGTGATGAAAAGGAGCCTCTCAACAGGAGGAACATCTCCAAGAAATTCATCCTGTTCATCACTGCAATGTATCATGTACTGAACACAGCTGATTTTCACCTGCTGGGAAAGAAAAAACATCTGCTGCTCAAAATTCAATCTGTGCATTTTATACCCTAAAACAATCCAACAGAGCTTTTGGATGAGATTCCTTCTGAGAACCATCACACTGGAAATCAATGGATACTTTAGATAAAGGACTGAAAATCTCTTCTAATCACTTTCAAGTTCAAGACAGAGTCAGAAAAATTTACTAAGCTCAAATTCATTTGTTCAAGTCATGGCAAAAACATCCCCACCTCAGGAACTCAGATGTGTTACATCTATTATAGAATGCTGCTTACAGAAGGACAAATGTGGGATTTAGCATTCTTTACATGCTGAGCATGGTCACCAAATACTGATGGCATTCAAAGTAAAGGGCTTTCCAGGGTGTGTTGATGTGGCACTGCCTGATTTTTGGTAACAGGGGAAGGCCACAGGTTTGGCTTCTGTGAGAAGCTGCTGGAAGCTTCCACCATGTCTGACAGAGCCAATCTCTGATGGCCAGCAGTGGAAGTAAGACAAGTGACTCCCCAGCACAGAACCTGGATGGGATTGACCTCTGGGCACTGTGGGATCTTGCAACAGTCTTTGAATTGGTGCAAGCTGACAATGGTACCTACAAGCAGCAGTTTTTCTTCTAGTTGGAGAAGAGGAGGAAGTGAGGACATGTGAGGGAAAACAACATGGAGACACCAAGGTCAGTGGAAAAGAAAGAAGGGGAGGAGGTGCTCCAGGCGTCAGAGCTACGATTCCTCTGCAGGCTGTGGTGAGGACTTTGATAAAACAAACTGGCCCCTTGTAATGCATGAAGTCCATGGGGGATGCAGAGATCCATGCACAGCCCATGGGAAAAGTGCTCATGGCAGAGTGGGTGGTGCCAGAGAAAGCTGTGGTACTGTGAGAGACCTGAAGAGAGAAACAGGGCCCCTGCTTCCAGAGAAAGAAAGAAAGAGCTTGCTTGCTCTCTCCCTGCTCCCAGACTGGAGCAGCCTACCCTCATGGACAAGTGACCCACGCCACAAGGGTTTTATGACAAGTGTTTGCCTGTGGGAGGGATCCCATGGCATAGCAGAGAAAAGACTCCTCTCCCTGAGTGAGCAGGAAAAGATCTCCAATGATGAACTGACCAAAACTCCCACACCCTGCCTTCCTGTGCTGTTGGTGGGAAGGAAGGAGGGGTTGGGGGAAAAAAGGTGTTTTAAAGGCTTATTCTACTTCTCATTATCCTCCTCTGACTCTGTTAATAACAAATCTACTTTATAAATTTGGACCTGTTTTGCCCTTAGAGTGTTTTTTTTTTGGTCCTAGTTGTTATCTCAGCTCATGAGCCCTTTGTTAATTTTCTTCCCTCTCCTCTGCCCAACTGTAACAGAAGAGGGTAAATGAACAACTTTTGTGAGTGCCTGGTGTTTGGCCAGTGTCAAACCACAACACAGGGCCTAGCTTAAGTTAAACCAGTTCCACAATTCTGAAAACGAACTACAAGGATCATGAAATTAGGTATGATACAGTGAAATTAGGTATGTGACAGTGCTGCCACATTTCAGGGGCCACAGCATCAACATGAGGTCCAGTGGCACAAGAGAAGAATCTTAGCTTGCCCACAGACAAGATTTTCAGAGCTTGGAGTGACTGCATTGTGGAGTTCTGTTCCAGCCAAGGTACAGGAAAAGGACAGTGCTTAGTATGTGGAAAACAATGAAGATTTTTTTTTTTCTTCCTCATTTTAATTTAAATTTTATTCTGGACTTCTCGGCTCCTACGGTTGTGCTAAGAAAGCTGTCAACACAATTAGTTTTGTGTTGTGTAGGTTTTGAAACCACTTAGAGCTCTTTAATTAACCAAGGGCCATTTTAGTGCTAATGATCATCTATAAGGAATAACTCTGCCATGTTCTCTCTCATACCTGGCAAGTTTTCCCTCACGGTAGGTCCTGCCCCAGGGGTGCCGGTGCTTCTGGAGGGGCCAAACGTCCGGCAGCCACAGGGTCACTGAGCCCTCCATGATGTCCCCATCTGCACAGGCTGGCTCTGTCTCCCGACAGTAGTAGCACTTCCCATAGAAGCAGGTGTTATTGCCTTAAAAAGAAAAATTTAGAGGTATCAAATGAAGAGGCATTAATCCAAGGAATCCAACTGAAATTCAGGAGCATGTTGTTACAGCAGAGGTTTCCCCATTACAGGATTTTACTGCACTTGTCTTTGTGGTTCCTGTCTCTGAGAGGGAGAGGCTCAAAAGAGACTACACAGACATCCATTCATTCAGAGCAATTAAAGAATAATATGAAAAGGAGAGAGCAATTATATTTTCTAATGACTTTATCACTCTGAGAATTAATACATTAGAATCTCAACAAGTTTTTGTGATCCTTTCCTAGTCCTGAGGACCCTGACTTTGCAATGTTAACACTGCTCGTTTTTCACATTTCATACTTCATGTGTCAGATTTCCCACAGAGACACAGCAGAACTCAAAGGGATTTGGTGCCCTGGGACCTGCCACACATCTCAGCTACCTGAGTTGACTCAGCAGAGGAGACAGAACCAAGTATCATTCTCACATGAGCTAGCAATGCAGATCTGTCAAAGCTTCATCAGGGTCTTCTGACAGGAGAGGAGCAACAAAACACTGCAGCCTTTAGTCCACTAACACTGATGCATCCTGGAGCATCAAGTAATCTGCAGCAGCCTGCATAAGCAGTTTTAGTTTAACCTTTTCTATCTTCCCCTTCTTAACCCACCTTCACTTGAACCTCGCCAAGTTAAATCCAGTTCCTTGCTCATGGATGTTCTTCCAGAATATTCTTCAGGTATGTCTCACTTGGTTGTCATTACTCTGTCATTTCTTCCTTTGGTTCTACATGCAATATCCTCCCCAGAGCAGGCTCAGCTCTCCAAATGCCATATTCTTCCCTTTCCACCCTCACACATCCCCGCCTCTCAGCCCTCCATCCAGAGCCTGTGCTCCCAGTATCCTGTCAGACAAGCTGAGGATGTCACAGATCATCACCAACACAGAGCTTGCAGACCAGATCTCTTGTTTGTATGGAAAGCCTGCAAGTCTCTCTTCCCATCCAGGGGCTGCAGCAGGTCTAGCAAGAGACAGAATTCTTTGAGATTCTAGCTGTAACTCCAGTAAACCTGCACTGAGTATGAATGAATTCTCTCTTCTTCAAAACCTCAGGAACTTGGTCAAATTTGGCCTAACAAAATATCATAACCTCCTCCATAGATCCACTTATTTCTTTAGCTCCTGCTTTGCAGAACAGCAGTTCCAAGGAACCTAAGGAGCAGCAATGAACATTTCTGGAGCCTGACTTCTCAAGTCAGCACTGCTGCTAGCAAACAGCTTGGTTATCTTGGCTGAAATTGGAAAATGTAAAGCCTGCCTGAGGCAGGAAGCCCATGTGAATGCCAGGAGAGGCTGATGAGGCTGAGCTGAAACTTTCATCTGGAAGTTGTACCTTGTAAGTGGCAGTGTCAGGCAGCAGTTGAGACTGCCAGCAGTACTGCTAATAGGAACATTACCAGCAGCAAGGAACAATCATCTCTGGAGCCTTCTGATTAGGAAATGAAACAAACAAACAAAAGAGTAATAATTGGATGGTTTATGGAAGCCTCAGGGAGTTAAGGCTGCAGCATAAGTAATTTCTTGGTACTTAATGACCACCTGGTAGGAGTTCACATTAATAGCTTCCATTATGTGTCCTTCACAGCATTATTACTGTAAACAACACAGGGAAGTTCTGCCATTGGTTGTAAATGCTCTGCAGGCTCTGATGCAGCACAAACAACATCTAATACCAACCAGTGTGTCAGCTCTATAAATTATCCCAAATCACCACTCTCTTCACATTAAATACAACTTTATTCTTTTCTTTTCAGGTCTAATCACAGACTTTTCTAACCATTTTTGACAGCAGAGAGAAAACTCTTACCCAAAAAATAAAAATCCCATCTGTAGCAGCAGCATGAGGGAACACTATTTGAAGAAAACCAAGTCCTCCTTGGGTTATCCAAGAGCTCTCCTGGCACAGAAAGAGCTTCCTGTATCATGGTTAACTGCTCTGTAGCTGTGTCAGGCTCCCACAGCTCCTTTCTGCCATGAAGGATTTTCCCTTCCCTGGGCAGCACAGCCCATGGAATGCACTTACCCACAGTCATGAAGGTGCCCAGGAGCTGCTCTGTGGCCACGGGTTTGATCTCGGTGCGCAGATTCACGAACCTGCCGACCACCAGCGGGGCCCGGCGGAAACCCAGGATTCTGATTGGGGTGAAAAAACACAGCCTGAGAATCTGCAACATAGGCAGCAGTTCAAAACTAAACCAAAACATCCTCACAGTCTCTGTCAGAGATGATAGAGACCAAAGAGTAAAGCTGAAGCCCTGCAGCAACCTCCTCTCTTCTCTGAGGCAAAGTAAGGAAACTCATTTTTCTTATGTGCCTGGATGTGAAACTTACTTTATAGGCCATCAGTGACACTCCTTTATTAAAGCATTTGCAGCAGAGCAACAGAGGATGCACCATGCTCCAACTCTCAGAACTCAGACCTCACACCAGAAATATCCATCATGTGTCTGAAGCAGGCTGAAGCAGTAACTGGTCACCTGGAAAGATCATTTCTAATTTGTGGGAACCACTATTAAAATGTTATGCTTAAGCCAAATTCAATTACACTTGAAAGCAACCAATCCAAGAGTTGTTTTGTTTGGCACAAAGAAGGAGAAGGGAAGAGAGAATGGTAGAACAAAAGTGAATACATGAGAAGGGCCTGGAAAAGCAGAGGTGGGAAGAACAACCATAAAACTTGCAGTTACAAGATCCAGGTTCCACTCCCATGCCTGCCACAGCCTTTGCTCTGTGACCACAAATGACTTGGGTGTTTGTAATGGAATTTCAAAAGTGCTTAAAGTACAAACATCAAAGGAGTGTCAGCCCCAACTCTCTTAATGCACTTTTGACACCCTCTGGATAGTCTTTGCATCTCAGAAAAAGATTCTGAAAAGGTATTCCTGAAGAATAAAGAGGTGCAGAGCCATAGACAAAGACCAGAGAAAAGAAGCACAAAATCATGACCAAATGGACAGCAAAGAAGAGTTAAGTGAGATTTGGACACTTGAAAGAGGCTCTGATTGAATGTTCAATCATTACTTTTTCAGGGAACCTGAAGCCTGTATGCTCCTTGAAAGCACTAATGGACTGACATCTGGCTCCATTATCTTTTTATCTTCTTAATATACCCTGATTTTGGTCCACCAGCACAAGCTGGCTGTAGCAGCGATGGGTGTTACTCAACTACTTACCATCCTAGATATTCTAATTCTTCCTAGAATTACTGATTTCTACTGCCTGTGCAATGAGTTCCACAGGTGAATCAGGACTAACAGACATCACTGTCACCACCTATGACTTTAGTCACAGTGATAAGGCTCTTATCTATGTACTGAGAAACCTCAGTCTCAGTTTTTCTATCCTTTGTTATATTTGTCCCTCCTTATTCCTTTTCTCAAGATTTTATGTGTTTTCACCTCCAAATCTTCCTATGAGGAAACAGAGACTGTGCTCATCTATGTTATGTGAAATTGCAGCTCTAACAGCATTTCACAACTATTGACATTCAGTGTCTGGTGTTTTCTGTCCCATTCTTTGAACATCCTATAATTTTCATTTTTTCCTGTAATTGCACCTCCAGCACAGGTCCACAAAACCACCTGGGTACCCCAAGCACAATTAGGATATGAATAACTGGATTTCCTCTAGGATGCACTGATTCATATTTACTCTAGACTAAATTGTTAGTCTAGACATCACTCTTGACTTTTTACTGAACTGAACATGAACTTAGCACACACATTTAGTATTTCAGACTCTTCCACAGCATTTAGCTAAGCTCTTTCTCCCCTGTAATATTAACTAGAGTGGTTGCAGGGCTCATTCTCCTTCCCAAACTTTTTACAAGTATCTAAAATGTTACACTCTTGACCAGATCTTAAAACCGAAGTTTCACAGAATAAGCTGATTCTTATTTTGGCTTCAATGTGGTAAATTGGCAGGTTAGAGGTAGCTCCCATCTGAGGTGCATTCTTCAAAGAACCCCTTTTTTCTGGTGCTTTACAAAGACAATAAAACCAGAGAAAGCAGTAATTCCATACCTATCCAAGTGAAAGGCTGCCACTTCTGCGTTGTGTCGGTCGTAGCCAGCGTAGGGCTCTCCTTCCACTATATAATCCCTGGCATATCTGGAATTGAAATAAGTCACATGAAGTGAGTCTATGTAGAATCCCTGTCAATTCTGCTGTTCAGAGGAACAATTTAATAATAGTTAAAGAGTCTCTGGGTCACTTTGCAAGTGACTGCCAATGGGAGAGTGGAAAAACATCAATGATATTAAAGTGTCCAGACTGTTGAAGTGGTAAATAAGGAGGAAAGGTCAGTGATGTACAGTGGTGTCCAGAGCCTGTGAAGCAGCTCACATCCCAACTAATAAATTTTAATCCAACCATATGCCAAGTCACATCTTAGAACAAAGAGCACAGACCCTGCTATGGAACAGGGGGCTATTTATCCTGGAAAGCAGCAATTCCACAGATGATTTTGGGGTTACAAAGAATTGTACATTAACAATTCTCAAATACAATCTTATATTGTGGAAGAGATGTCAAATGTAATCTTTAGTAGACAGAAAATCAGCAAGTGTGAACCTGAGGACAATAATGGGTATAAACAGAGAGAGCCTTTAATCTGGCAGAGAAAAGATATCATGAACAGCAAAAAACAGAAATTACACACTCATTGCAACAACAATGGTGTATTTTGGTGAGTGCAAGGCTTTTTGCTCCCCTTTTTATCTTTTAGTAGATGGTACTTAGTCAAGGCAAACACCAATTTCTCAGCTGCCTGCCATTTGGATCAGTGTAGATATTGCTCTAACACCACACTGCAGCTGAGTGTGAAACACCACAACCAATACCGAGCAAACTGGCGAAATGCAACATGTTTTCAAAGAAAATAAGGCCAAATTAGGTAATCTATTTTCTTACTTCCATCTACGTATCAAATTGTGTAAACTGGATTATTTCCAGCAGAATTTGTGTTCAAGCAGTAGCAACAACAGTGTAAGAGGAGGCACAAGAGCTGGACCTCAATGTTTTAGCCCTGCTCAGGGAGGAAGTGGGGTGAGAAGACAGCCCACTTCCCCAGCCTGAGCAATGCTCCAGCTTCTCTGCAAGGCAGCTTAAAAGAGAATTCACCAGTGCAGGATTCCTGCCAAATGGGAGCTTTCACCAAACCAGCATCTTCTGCCCCATATACCACCAGATGTGATGACAGCAAGTATTATTTGTTAGTAAATTAGGCTGGATTTCAAATAAATTTGAAGTGAGCTAATCCTCAGAACATGTCCTTCAAGGCAGGTCTTTGGTAGGTACTTACAGCTGGCTTTTGGAAACAGGGTCACATTTTGAAAGCTGCAGAGATAAAATTTATTAGGAAATCCTGACCAAACTCTTTGTTTCCATGCACAGTAGGCATCCAGTCCATTCCAGAGCAGAAGTAATGATGGAATTCCTTCTTCCCCTGCTGGTAAGTTTGCTCAGAACTGTTTTAGTTTTTAGCAGTAACTTTGGCAGAGCTTTCAGGTCCAAAGCTGGTTAAATAGACTCTCTTGCAGTGCCAGAACAGGACCGTGCTCACCAGCCTGGCTATTCAGCAGTCACAAACAAAACATGGGTCTACCAAGCTTGCCAAGGCCACCCTCTCCAGTGCTCCTATAAACATTCCCAGCTGCATATGTCCTTGCTGGAGCTCAGTGCCTGTGTCTGCCTGCACAGACAGGGCATTACAGAATGCAGTTTAACTCTCAGTTAATGCTTGACTGCACTCCCTGACACAGAAAGCCCTATGGGAATGCTGTGAATCCCCAGTTCTTTCACTGGAGGAGATCCCTCTTGTACCACCAGGACTTTGTGTGCAAGGCTGACACTGCCTGGGCCTGCAGGGGAGCTCCACCCAGGGCAGGAATTGGCTGTACAGAGATTTTTTTCTCATTTTCTAATCATAGAATCACAGACTGGTTTGGGCTGGAAAAACATTTCATTCCAATCCTGCTGCCATGGGCAGGGACACCTTCCACTAGACCAGGCTGTTCCAAGCCCTGTCCAACCTGGCCTTTGGACAATTCCAGGGATCTTCTTCTGGACAACCTGTGCCAGGGCCTTACCACCCTCAGAGGGAAGAATTTCTTCCCACTATCCTATCTATCCCTGCCCTCTCTCAGTGTGAAGCCATTCCCCTTAGTCTTGTCACTGCAGGCCCCTGTCCCAAGTCCCTCTCCAGCTCCCTTGAGCCCCTTCAGGCACAGGAAGGGGCTCTAAAGTCTCCCTGGAGTCTTCTGTTTTCCAGGTGAACAGCTCTAGCTCTCTCAGCCTGATTCCAAGCAGAGGTGCTCCCACCCTCAGAGCATCTTTGTGGCCTCTGCACTCGCTCATTAACAGGACAGGAAACTTTAATGCCTGCTTAGCCTAAAATCTTTTTCTGTGATTACACCTCTCATTTCCAGTGAAATCTCCTAAAACACAGCTGGCGCTACTTTTTAACATCTTTCTTCTCTTTTTCCCCAAGGACACACAGTTCAAAAAGCTTTACAGCCAAGACTCTTCAGAAAATTCAACCATATCAGTTTTTTCTGAGGATCACTGTACACTGAGGCTATACCAAGGAAGTATCACTTCCATCACCCTCCATTCTCCAGTACTCACTGCTGGCAGACAGGAGGCTCAGTGGCTCTCACTCTGACCTACCCAAACCATTTTACAGTCTACATTCAAGTACACCAGACAAAGAGATGTACTTTTGAGACCACTGCCAAGGTTCCTTCGTTCCCTGCTCCTGAACTGCACCCTCTCCTGACAGTCTGACACAACAAGGAGTCAAAGCTTGTCTCCAAACTGCCAGAAGCTGCACTTCCAGAGTCAGGAAGATACTGCTCAGAAACACCAAGTGTAACCAACATCCTCTCTCAGGACTGAACACAGTGATTATTCTTTTAATCTAAAGACAGGCTGTATCAAGGCTGTACAATGCTGCTAGAGCACCAGCAAGGTTCTATTCTGTGGATGCCATGGGACAGAGAGAGAGAAATGGCAAGCGTTTCTCACAGCGGCTTGTGAGGAATTTTAGGGAGCTGGAAAGATGTGATAACCTGTTGACTATAAAGAATTTGCAGGTGCTGTTTTTCTACTTTATTTTTCTGTTCCTCTCAAGGACAGTGCGTGAGAAAGATGTTTCAGTTAGTCAGCCAATAGAATAGAATCTATCATACCACTGTATAAAAACCACACAGTTCTTTTGGATAAAGCCTTCTTTGCCTTTGCTACGATCCTGCCTCTCGCCTGTTCCTGCCCTGACCCCGGCACATGAGTGACACTATTCTGTCTCAAAAATAACAGCATGGTCTTTCAAAATTCCTAACTTCAACACTAACGTGACAGCATGGAGAAGAATAGTATATGTAAATGAAGCAGTTGTTAATGCAGACATTGAAAGCAGCACTTACCTCTTGGGCTTGAAGACAACCTTCTGTCCTCCTTCAAGTATCAGCAAAGCTTTCAGCTGCGTCCCTTTGTAGCCCACATCAGCTTTGATGATCTTCTTGGTGCTCATGGCGTGCATGACGGCGCCCAGCTCGGGGGTGTCCTCGGGGTACACCTCGCGGGGCACCACCCACTGCGCAGCGATCTCCCAGGGCGACTGCAGCGTGTGCTCCAGGCGCGGCTCCAGCGCCACGCGCAGCCCCGACAGCATCCGCTGGAACGCGCGCTGGTCCTCGCGGTGGGCGGCCGACGTGTCCAGGTTGTCGATGAGGAAAACCTTGGTGAAGATGAAGATGACGAGGAGGATGGCCAAGAGCACGACTCGCTGCTTCAGCTTCATGGTGCCTTTCAGCCCTTCTCCCCTGACTCTTTCTTCCGAGCGCTACGGGAAGTCTGTTGGAGATCAGGGTGAGGAAGGGGGTGTTAGTTGATGAATTTCATGCCTAACTTGCATTGTAAAAGATGTCTCAGCACTGAAGCGTCTCCTGGTACCCCTAAAAATAAACAAAACACAAACTTACAATCCCGCAGATCCCACCAAACTCAAAACCAAGTTTATGCTCGGAGCATAAGCCTGGACTCAGGGAAACCTGTATCCTAAAGCCTGAACACTTCTGTTAAAACACACTGGCTTTGCTGCCTTCCTGCAGCCTGTCTGTGATCTGCACAGAAGGGGAAATTGCCAGATAGCATCTCTGCACAGCCGAAATCATAGCAGCTGCAGGCAAGACTTTTGCAGGGAACTGTAGTTTAATATGATTGCTGCAATTTCACATGCACTCTTCCATTAGTGCAAGATCCCATGATTGCTGGTGTCCTAAAGAGCTATCCCTCAGAAAAGCTCCCAGGTAGATTTTAAGACAGCTCACAACAGTGAGAACAGCTGCTCAGCCTTCTTTCTTGAAGGTACAAGACATAAGGACAGAATAGACTCAATTGTTTATTGCCTTTCATTTGCTGCCATTATAATTTACTCAGCTTTTTTTCCATTCTTAAAAAAATATGAGCTGGGGGGGGATGACATCTTTACTTCCTCACAGCTAACCAAGTTCCTTCTGCGCTCAACTGTGAAACCCATAACCACAGAAAATATACAAAGTGTCTGCAATCTCAACCAAATTAACTAGAAAAAATACCCTAGAACACGTGCCTGTTCTCACATCCTCACCTACAACAGTTAAAACCACATCTGTTTCTATATTTACAGTGGGCTCCAAGACACATCTGGCCCCTCAAGAAGGGCAAGGGCAAGGACAGTGTTTGCATGTAAGGACCAGAGAATGCACCATCAACTGTATTGGGTTATAAAGACAGAATTACCTTCCTAGTATTAGCTGAATGCAGTCAAAAGCCAAAGAGAAAGGGGACATGAGGCACACCTCTGAGGGGCACTGGAGCCAGCAGGAATTTCTCTTCACCAGGCACACTGATCATGTAAACCCCAAAGAGCACCCAGAGCTGGGGGAGGACTGACACAGAAAGCCTTCTCATGCAATTTAACAGTAAGAGTATAAATCAGCCATAAATAATCATGGCACTGGAAAAAATGAGCTGCCACAGGCTCCTTCACCAGCAGCCACCACAGGACAGCCAGGCCATGCCTGCTGAGGCACACACAGGTCACAGTCCTCAGTGCAGAATCAGGCTGGCATGGTGTAAGAGTACAGTATAAAAGTATAAAAGGACATGTATAAAAGGAGATGCAAAGGCACAAAGGACTCCACAGCACCCAGAACAAATTTACATGAGGTCTAGATCAGAGCCATCCACGGCTCTCCCATAGCCCTGTTAGCACTCACAGCAGGACAGAGACCCCAGCAAGGGCAGGGGGTAGAAGCCTCTGGGATGCTTCAAACTAGAGCCACAGTCTGCTGTTAACTGTGTAATACTGATTTTAATCTGCTGGAAAATAAGTGCTTGTGCTCATACTGAAAGAGAACAAATCACATGTTTATATGGAAATTAGAGCATATTATTATTCTTCATCTAGTTTTGTTTTGGCAGGCTGTTCTTCTCCAGACAGCACTGCCACCTGCACATTACCCACTGCAAGCACAAGAATGTGAAGCACAGACAAGGAAGATGCACCTGACCCAAAGGCTCTCACTCCTGCAGATACAGACTCACCCAGGAAGAGATCCTTAAATAATAATCACATTATTCTTAAATTTAAACAGACAAGCAAAGCGGATTGGCTGCACCTGCACCCTCTCATTTTAACTCCATAATTCACCTCTTTAAAACTACTAATTCTGAATCACTTTGAGCACTGCTTAAATTCATTTTTAAAATCCATTAGAGTTTGTAAGGAGTTAGGCAGAAGAACAGAGGTCATTTCAGAACAGTTACTGCTGGCTGTGGGATATGTGTATGTGTACACTCACATTTAAAGAAAGCCTCACAGTGCAGTGCTGCCTGACTAAAGCACTAAAGCTCAGGGCAGGATGTTCCACACCTCTGGAGCTCAAGGTGAGCACTCACTTTTCTACATTGATTTCCAGGAATGCTGAGTTTCTCTAGGGATATTCTTCCTGGGACTTGGAGGGAGAATACAACTACAGTCACTTAAATGAAAGGTAATTTATTTAGTTAATCTTTTGTGATGGCTTTGAAACTAATTTTGGCTGAAACCCTCCAATGAGGTAAACAGAATTTACAAAAATAAATAAAATTCAATATTTAACTATTTGCTGGTGAGTTGGCTCTCACTTTTTAGTGACATCTGAGGACATGAGTCATTGGCTGCTTTCCTCCAAGAAACACCAAGGCACCCCCGAGGTTGCCATGTAATCAATTTCCCAGTGCTCCAAGCACAGCCTGCACTTTGCTCCTTGGTGCCAACATTACACTCTCTGCTCTGCAAGCCAAGGGAATTGAATCCTTTTATGAACAAGTTTACCACGGACAGCAAGAACTTGAGTTTACTGTTCTAAATTGAAGATGGCAAGGGTGACAGCGTCAAGGCAATGTAAGAAAATATTTATGCCGTTTTGGAAGAAAGTAATTTGAAAAAGACATGTCTTTGGCAAAGTCTTGGATTGGAAAGGAAGATTATGAGAACTCCAGAAGTGTCAAGCTGGCCCTGGAATGAGGTCAGAGATGAGAAAATTGAAATAACAATACACCACCAAAATTTTAAAAGGGAAAAAATAAGGTGAGCGTGAGCAGAACTCTGGAATGAACAGCAAAAGGGTCTTGGACAATGACAAAAGTAAACCCAGCCAAAAAGAGAAAACAGCCAGAAATAAACAGCCCCAGCAGCTTTTTAATGCTGTAGTCAACTGAAAGGTTTGCATAAGAAATGTTTCTTGTTTTTCACTACCTCTTTGGGAAATTTCCTGATCAATTCCTTCTCTTATTACAACCAGCTCCGTATTCTCAGCAAGTATGAGTCCCCCAACTCAATATACAAATAACAGCATCTCCTCAGTATCATGGTGGGGTCACTGTGCACACAAACACACAAATTAAATCATGTCTGCTGGCATTAAATACCAACATCAGACCACTTCACTCCCAGTTCAAAAAACAACATGCAATTTGCCTGTTACAAAAATTACAGCTACGATAAGCAGGCTGCAAAGTTACCAGAAAAATCCCACAAGACATTTTTTACTGAAGTCACAAAATCAATGGCGTGTCTCATATCACAATCTTATTTTGATATCATAAAGCTTTTTAGCTGCTATGTCAAAAATACTTGTGTGTACAATTTGCCAGGATTTCATTATGCTCCAAGTCACAAATCAGGTCCAGGGGCAGGCAAAGGTTTAGTTTGGCAGCATAAGTACACAAAAAAATCATAGCTCAAACAGACACTGATCTGAAATGGATATGGTGAAAGTAGAGTCTAATTCCTGTTTAATGCAAGGGGTTTTTCTTATATACACTATACCTTTTGGGATCACCTATCAAAAGGCCTTTAGAAGTTCTCCAGTAAATCCTGGAAAATGCCTTGAAGAAACATCGTACACAGTAGTGACATTTTCCTCTTCCCAAAACATCCCTCAGTCTCACCAGATCAATCTTCCTTCCCATCCTCCCCTCCCTGGCCAGCTCCTTGGTGGCTCATGCCTCCCTTCTCTGTGTGAGCCTTGTTATTCCAGTTTCCACAGGCAGGCTCCCACAGACCTTTCCTTGGATTTCTCAGACTCATTCTGTCACTTCCACTCTCTGCGTGCTGCCTGCCTTGTGTACAAGTTTAGTCATCTAGTGCTCAAGGCTTCCCACGTATTTACTTCTCTGCTGTTTCTCCATCTCCTTTCCTCTTAAAACCTTCGTTATCTACAGGCAAAATCTGTGACAGTCTACACTCAAACTTTCCACAAACACAACTGCACCCCTGGTTGAGAGCTACAATACTGATAAATGTGAAAGACCACGAGCACTTTAACCACTGCAACATCTCTGCCTGCAGCTGCAACAATCAGTAACCGCCTGAAATATTCTCACACAGCTTTGGAAAGAAACAAAATCATTTTGTCCATCTGTCTGCCCACCTTGGCCTGTTATAATCCTTAGTAACTTAAGAATCTGTAACCTGCATTTCTGCCAAATTTGTCAGAGGACTATTTGCATGAGCTTTACAAAAACCACAGGCCAGATAGAGGACAGAAGCCTTGAGAAGCCAAGGACAACTGGGTAAATATCCTGAATCTTTCCCAGCTGCCGGCACAGCAAACAGGAACACCTGACTCAGCTGGCTGCACAAATAAGGACAGGGTGGGTTGGGATCCAGGCAGCTCCTGGGTGCAGCCCTGGGGAAGGGGAAGCCACCAGGCACTGAGCCCCCTGGGAGCCAGGCAGGAGCTGCTGGGGTAGATGTGGCAAACAACTCCTCAGGAAACCAGGCTGCATGAATCCTCCTTGCAGAATGACTTTCCACCAAGCACCGTTTCCTATGGAAACAAAGTTTATATAATCACACTTTTCACTTAGATCCACCAGCTAATTCCAAACGCATCTGAGAGGACAGTAGATGTTTTGAAGACAGGGTTTATGTGTTTATTGGAAGCTGGCAGCCAGGGGTGCTGCAGGAAGGGCCCCAGCGTTGGCTCAACAGTTGTCTGCTTGCCTTGGCCATGTGGGCAACCCAGGGGCAGGGAGCTGGGAATGCCACGTGGGCAGGGAGGGATTGGGAACACTGAAATGGGGAATGCAACAGACAGGGGCTGGAGCCAAAGGCACTGATACAGAGGGTGCTGGGACCTGGTCCGAAGACGGCCGGAACAACCCTCCCTTGTTCCCATCCCCGTTACTGACATTCCCCCTGACCACTACAGGTCAATAAAGCCAGCTGGAAATGCTTTAGGGAGCCTTGTTCCACTTGGAAATGAAGCCAAGGCAGTAAGAAAATTCTGCAGTTTCCCTTCTCCACTTCACATGTTTATTCATCTCCTACATATGACTGACATTAAAAATTTAGCGAGGGTCCATGTACCCATCTGGATTTTAGCAGTGCTGAGCCTGTCTCTGCT